GGTGCTTGTTGGTCTAAACCCAGAGACTCCAATATTCCTTAATTAAGGAATACCCCTTAAATTATAGTAGGATCCTTAATATGATTTAAGGTATATTCCTTAATTAAAGGATATTGGAGTCTCTGGGAACCCTACACCCTAAACCTTAAACCCGGCCATGCAGCCGCCTACAAAAAAAACCTGGTTAAATCCATTAAGCGGCTTTACACATTCGTAAACGGCCCTTGTGTAGGGACCCTAGTGGAGGGGTTTAGGGTTTAGGGGGTTTAGGGGTTCATGAGCTTCGGGTTTCGGGTTTAGGACCTCGATAGAACCGATGACAACCCTGACAAAACCGAGACACATTCATAACATTTCATAATCACATTAAACCTTTTCAACCCCTAAACCTATGCTCTAAAACCCTAAGCCCTAAAACCCTAAACCCCAACACGGTCAGCGTCCTTAGGGTTTTTCGAATGAACAGAAACTTTGTGCGGGAATTCTTGTGACTCCTGAAGATCCACGACGAGCAGCGTTGAAGGCCACACGGTTGGCCGATGCATCCTTGCACCAGGGTTTAGGGTTTAGGGTTTAGACTATGAGGTTTGGATTGTTGTGCTTCTTGCAAGGGTCCAAGGTTATTTTCGTTGAGCCCTCAACCCTATCAAGGGCCCGCGTTTGCAGGAGGCTGGGTCCAAGTAGGGTTTAGGGCCGAGGGTTTGTGGTTTAGGGTTAAGGGTTTAGGGCTTAAGGTTTGAAGGTCTGGAATTTTATTAAAGGAAACTACAGGTGGTGAGTCTAGGGCAAAAAGGGCTTCTATAAGGCTTCTATAAGGTATATAGACCTTCTACAAGGCTCCTATAACGGTAACTACCCACCTGAAAATGTCCAAGATCTAGGGTTTACGAACTAAGGTGAAAGGATTCGGGTTTTGGGGGGTTGCGGACTAAGGTTTCAGGACCTGGAGCTAGTGAAAGGCTGCTTGCGTCGTTAACGACCTGAAGCCATTGAAGCTTGCTGGCGTGAAACTCGGAGTTTCTAGAGTCCGGGAACCTTTCAGGTGAGAGCTTCCGATGCTTCATACACACCTAACCAGTACGGTTTAGGGTTTAGGGTTTAGGGTTTGCCGAAACAGCAGGGTTCTTACTGGACAATCTCTTACGCTATCTTCATGTGCCTGACTACGGATAATGCCATAGGGCTCTGTCCAACAATAGCATAACAACTACCCTAAATCCTAAACCCTAAACCCTAAACCCTAAACCGATAATAACCATAAGCACCCCAAGAAAGACCCCCGGGTGCAGGACATGACCATGCGAAGTATTGGCCTTCATAGCTAGACCACGATGCCCGCTGATGGCTTAGGGTTTAGGGTTTAGGGTTTAGGGTTTAGGGTTTA